CTTATTGAGGCAGGGTCTCTCACAGAACCCAGAGCTTGCGTTGCAGCTGGTCTGGCTGTTCAGCTCACCCTGGGAATCCTCTGTCCCTACCCACCCCAGTACTTGGATGACAAGTGACCACCACGCCTGTCTGCCTGTCTTTTATGTGGTTTGGAGATATCTCAAATCCCGTCTTCACACTTCCACAGCGGACATCCTGTTCACTGAGCCATCTCTCTGGCCCTCTTTTTTTTAAACCACCTTTCTTTTGAGGTTGGGTCTCTCGCTGGGACTTGGAGCTCATCCATTTGAGGACTTGGACCTCAAACCCTGGAGGTCCTCTTATCTCTGCCTCCTCAATGCTAACACGTCACCAAATGAACCATCATTCTAGCCCCATGCTTATTGTTTGAAGTCTCTAAAGAAGGAAAGTAGAAAGTACTAAGATGCACAAAGGAATGTGTAGCAAATAAAACGTCGATGTTGTCCTTCACATGGGCAGGATTGTGTGGATTTTAGGAATTCCCAGATAGTTTCTGGATCCGGTTGCTGAGATCCTGACAGCCTTGGAGCTGGAGAAGAGGGTCACATCTGTTACACTAATTGTGGCTGTTAGTGCCACTATATCATTTCACAACATCTCAGCTTCAGACAGAATGGCTTCCATAAACATACAGCAGACGGACACAGCCCAGATTTCTGCAGTTTATTTTACACCAAGAAATTACATTTAGCAATTTTCAGACACATGCTATAAATGAAACTTCAATAGGAAGTTTCACTTCCTCTCCATCTGACCTATATTTCAAAAGTCTGTGAGTGGGTCATAACCATGAGCATCTCTTCCCCAGGCTGCCAGTATCCATTCTGTGTTTTGTGGAGATTATTTTTCTTCCCTGTGACTCAAATGGCCACCGAGGGCACTGTAGACACTGGGAGACTTTATACAACCCTAAGAAAAATGGCAAATGTTACCAATGGCAAGGTCAAATTGTATAGCTGTGGGTCACCTAGATCCATCAGGTTAGCCAGAAGAGGAGGCAAGTCTCCTGCTCCTAGCATGGACATAGCTTTTGTACCTATACAACCTTAGGTTTTGTTAGTATCTCATGAAGCCTTGCCTGACTGTCTAATGTAGTTGGCCCTGAGGAAATGGTTCACTTAGAGTTTGGATCACCAACACCCAATTAAAATGCCAGGCATGGTGTCACTAGGCTGACCTCAAACTCAGAGAGGCCCACCTGCCTCTGCCTTCCAAATGGTGAGATTAAAGGTGTCGCCATTCTCAGCAAATGTGAATTTTCAAAAAAATGGAAACATTGCGTAAAATCTGACAATTGGCTAGACAGTGGTGGCACATGTCTTTAATGCCAGCATTTAGGAGGCAGAAGCAGGAAGATTTCTGTGAGTTCAAGGCCAGCCTGGGCTGCAGAGCAAGTTCCAGGACATCCAGGGCTACACAGAGAAACCCTGTCTCAAAAAACCAAGCCAAACAAATAAAAACACAGACTTGATAGAACCATGTATTTATTATGAGTGTCTACAGATGGGTCAGTACTTGAGCACTGGAGATGCTGTTCTAGAAAAACCGTCACTGGGGCAAGCAATTATTTTTAGTTCTAACAGATAAAGCCCTGGTTGGGATCTCCTCTGATCTCCTGGATGAATTTCCGTTTACAAGTGCTTCTGTTGGTAGCAAGATGTAGACTTCAGAGTCATTCCAGACCATTAGATGAGAATTCACTGTTCCAGGCTCTGGGCTAACATTTGATACACATCACATTTAAACATCATGAAGTCTTAAAATATTACTGTTCTATGCTGGGAAGTGGCCCAGAGAGTCTGTGTACTTGCCTCATGCCCAAAGTGAGCAAAACTTGGATTCAAGGTAGACCAGTCTAAATCCAGAATGCTTTCATCAGTTGTGATAAGAATGCATGTTGCACACACACACACACACACACACACACACACACACACTCCACATGTACATGTGTATATTTGTGTATGAATGTCAATAAGAAATCTGGGGACAAAAGAAGCCAAAATGGCGAGACATCATTGTAAAGAGATCTGTTTTCTTAATTTTATTTTCAGAAGTTTAGATCCCAGAAACCCACATAAGTGCTGCATGGTCTGTCTGTATTTCCAACCCTGGAAAACAGGAACAGGGGACCTTCAGGATGAACTGTCTACTGAGATTATTACTATTATTATTATTATTTTGGTTTTTTTAAAGACAGTGTTTCTCTGTGCAGGCTTGTTTGTCCTGGAACTTGCTCTGTAGACTAGGCTGACCTTGAATTCACAGAGATTACCCTGCCTGTGCCTCCTGAGTGCTGGAATTATAGGTGTGCACCACCTCCATCCAGCTAAGTCTGTTTCTTGTTAATAAGAAGATCTTTGGGTTTACATTTCCAAGTAGGTAAGGAATAGAGAAATATTCCCTCTGAAAGAGATAACAAGAGTAGGCTAACTTTGAATTTGAAATCAGAGTGTGTGAGATTAGTATCAGTCTTCAATAAAGATATTAAAATCTATTATGGCCAAATTCTACTAAGACAGAAATGGATTTTGAGGATATACCATTTGAGGTAGAGATTCCACCAGCTTTGAATTACACACCCAGGAAAGGGAGTCTGGTAACGGGTCCTACAGACCAATTTATAATGTTAAAACCCATCTGGCTGCTCAGTTGGTAAAGTGCTTATATTGCCAACGTGGGCATCTAAGTATGACTGCCAGAACACAAGGAAAGAAGCCAGGCAGTGTGGCGTGTACTTGTAATCCCAGCACTAGCGAGGTGAACACAGGTGTGTCCCCAGGGCCCACTGACCACCAGACTAGCCTATTTGGTAAACTCCAGGCCAGTTAGAGACCCTATCTCAAAAATAAACAAGATGTGAACCAACCAGTGAGATGGCCCAGCACGTAAAGACACTTGTCATCAAACCTGACAACCCTAGTTCCATCCCAGGGACCTAAAAGTTGTCCTCTGTTGGGTGTGTGTATAATAAATAAATAACTTTTCATATAGAAAAATAAACATGTAGATGGTACCAGAGGAACAGCACCCAAGGTTGATTTCTGGCCTCCATATATATCCACATACGTGAGCACCTGCCAGTATATACATGCACAAAGAAATAAAATACCTGAAAAATATTTAAATTATACAAGAGCTAACATGTGGGTTTGAGTTTAGCTAGGTAGCAGTATGTAAAACCAAAACTAAACATTAATTAAGGAAACCGTGCCACTTTGGAGTGACATCCTTGACTTAGTTTGCTTGTGGGGCTGACTTTCCTTGGGGAGGTTGCATCCACTGACTACACAGTTGATCGGATCACATGGTAAAGTTTGGGGGTAATACCTTACCCTAGCACATCTGACTAAGTAAGTTTCATCATAGTCTGGAGAAAGCAGACCCTTGCAAAAGCTGAGCAGACCTTCATCAACCAGGGGAAAATAGTTCTCATATTCAGTCTGATGCCTTGGTTCCAGGACTGTAGATGGAAGTTTCTGTCCCAACCGGTCCCACAGCCTTTTAGTCCCAAATAAATACACCGAAGCTTATATTAATTACAAACTGTTTGACTGATGGCTTAGGCTTCTTACTGGCTAGCTCTGTCTTAATTTTTTTTTTTCGAGACAGGGTTTCTCTGTGGCTTTGGAGGCTGTCCTGGAACTCACTTGGTAGTCCAGGCTGGTCTCGAACTCACAGAGGTCCGCCTGCCTCTGCCTCCCGAGTGCTGGGATTAAAGGTGTGAGCCACCAACACCCGGCGCTCTGTCTTAATTATTAACCCATAACTATTAATCTATGTATTTCCACATGTGTTGGGGAAGTCCTGTGTATATGTCAATAAAGCACTGTTGGCCAATAGGGAAACAAGATAGGTGGAACTAGGAATCCAGGAGGACTCTGGGTAGGAGAAACACAGGGAGTCAACATGTAACCGCCATAGGGATAAGAAGCCGGGAAACTTCTCCGGTAAGAGAAATACTTAGATTAACAATTATGGGGTAATTACTTAAGTCAGACCTAGCCAGTAAGAAACAAGCAAGGCCAACAGCTTCATAATTACTACCGCGTCTTGTGTGTTATTTGGGGACTACAGCACCGCAGAGCTCAGGCGACTGGCAGGGGATAAACCAAAGCTGCTGGCAAGGAAAAGGCTTCTCTCTACACACATGGTCTTATTTTAGCAGAGAATGCCCAGGCATCCTACCTTCTCAGGAGCTACATGGCATCTCTCCCGAAACTCCCTCTCTGCCTTCTTCTTGTCTGCGTTCTTTTAGTCTGTCCGTTGGTCAGAACAGTTTTACTCATCAGCCAATAAGAGAAATGTATTCACAGTACACAGAAGGACATCCCCCATCTCAGGACTCTGCTATTTAGGTCAAAACCCCAAATGGTGTGAGTTACTGGTTTCCCTCAAAGGTTTCAGTTTTCCATTTGAATTCCAGTCCCTGAGTCCTGTCTGAATCGTCAATGACCTTGGCATCCAACCAGTGTCACCTCACTTCTCTGTTCCCCTGACCCTGTCACACCAGAAGGTCACCTCCCTGAAACTACAGGCCTAGAGCATCCTACCTGCTGATGGGCTCACATCTGGAAGCTTCTCAGACGTCACCTTTGACCTCTCAGCCTTCCCTGGTCCTTCTGTGTATATGCTGTCTTATTGGTTGAGTACTGTTGGCCAATAGAGAAGCAAGATAGGTGGACTAGGAGTCGAGGAGGATTCTGGGAAACAGAGGCACAGTGAGTCACCATGTAGAACACCAGAGGAGTAAGAGGTCTGGACCCTTTCTCCGGTAAGACCACGTGGAAATACTCAGATTAGCAGTTATGGGTTAATAATTAAGCAAGAGCTAGCCGATAAGAAACCAAGCAAATGGCCAACAGCTTCCTAATTACTATAGTATTCCGTGTGTTATTTGGGGGCTGAGACATCTGCGGGACCCGGCAGGAAGAGAACACGTTGCATCTCCTGACCTGTGCCTCCACTCATGCTGCAGGTCTCAAGCTCCAGTCTCCCCCAGAAGATCACCCCAACCCACTCCACCCAGAAGGAAAGAGAAGCACCTAGAAGAGGATGCCAGTCAGATCCCGCACCAAAGCTGCACGCCTGCCCGATTCCCCTTCTCCTCTCCCTCGTATAATAAACCATGCCACTCCCATCATCCTGTCTGGGGACTCTAGATCCTGGCCTTCCTATGGAGGGATTAGCCCTGCCACTGCCTGCAGTCTCTTTCCTATAGACTCTCCCCATCAGCATTAAGCATGTTTCATTTTTACTCCTTGGTTTCCTTGGTTACAGCTTGAATAGGAAAAGTCCCCCATAGGCTCAGGTCCCTAGCTAGTGATGCCATTTGGGGAGGTGGAGGAGCTAACTTAGGAGACATGGCCCAGCTGGAGTAAACAGATGACTGGGGTGTGCCTGTGAAGGTTGGAACTGGCCCCTGGTCCCTTCCTTCATGTCCACTTCCTGTCCATAGTTAAGTGAGCATACGCCCGCATGTGCTCCCGTTTTCATAATGGATGAAAATAAAAGCAGGGACTGGAGTCCAGGAAACCATAATCCAAGTTCTTCCCTTAGGTCATGTCTCTGTCACTTATTGTGCCACAGTAACGAGGGAAGTCGACAACTGACTGTCTTGTAAGTCACATCAGAGGCGGGGCAGACAGCTCAGGCAGGAGAGTGCCGGCCACACAAACATGAGCATCTGAGTTCCATGCCAGCCCCCACGTAAAAGCTGAGCAGAGCGGTGCACTTCTGTAAGCCCAGCCCTGGAGGCTGCAGGCCAGCCTGCCTAGACAAAGTAGTGAACTCCAGGTCAGCAAGAGGTGAGAGACGCCGTCTCGAGAGCTAAGGTGAGGAACAATGGCGTAGGACACGTGACATCAACTTTTGGCCTGCACATGCTCTGTCTCTGTCTCTGTTTCTCTCTCTCTCTCTCTCTCTCTCTCTCTCTCTCTCTCTCTCTCTCTCTCTCTCTCTCTCTCTCTCTCTCTCTCTGTCTCTCTCTGTCTCTCTGTTTCTCTCTCTCACACACACACACACACACACACAATGCTCACTCACTCGCTCCCCTTTCTCCTCTATTCCCAACACCCTCCTTCCTCTTCTGGAGAGTTATCTTGTCTCCCCAGCTCCCCCCTCCCTCACCCACAGGCCAGGATGCCAAAATGGCTGTCACTAGAGCCACTGCCACCCTGATGGAGGACAGTGTGTCCTACCCACTGGCAACATTTTCTGCTACAAACGATTCCCCGTCCTTTTTCTATAATGCATGCTCCATCTTGGTCTTAACAGTTTCTCTGTCTCTGTCCCTGTCTCTGTCTCTGTCTCTGTCTCTGTGTCTCTCTCTATGTGTCTCTCTGTCTCTGTCTCTCTCTGCCTCTCTGTCTCTCTCTGTCTCTCTGTCTCTCTCTGCACCCACCTTCTCCTTCCCCTCCTTCATCTTAGACTCCTCCAATCCAGAACAGAGTTTTCTGGAGCTCTGTCCTGGTCTCCTCCTCAGTCCACTCTCTAAGCCCTTTCCACCTGAGCTTCTTCCCTTCCAACTCCAAGTCTGGCCGTCCCATCCCTCTTTCCCTGTCTGCTGCTTCCTGCACGCAGACCCCCCTCCTGGAGCTGCTCGGACCCATCCTGCCCTAGACGGACTCATCCTTGTCCCTCTCTTCCCTACCCCACCCCCCCACTCCCCCACCCCCGCTCCTCCCAGCCCGGTGTCCTCACCTGACCCTCGCTGAGACCCCAGCTTCAGGGCTGCCTCCTTGTTCCCGCCTTGCCCTCACCGTCCCGGTCAGCACAAACCTTGAGCTAGGCTGAGGCCTTCCTCTCTGTAGCTCTCAGATCTCACCCACAGCCGATTCCCTTACCTCCACTTTAGACACACATTTCCAAGGAGACCTTTTTTTCTCCGGTGCCTGTCCTCTTTCCTGCCACCTCTGACCTTTCCTGAGTCAATTCTGAAATGTCCCTAATGTGTTCTTAGTAAGTTCATCGCTGTTGTGGCAAAACACCCAAGATAATCAACTTTTTAATAAAATTCTTTCTTCTTCATAACTGCATACAAGTACACAATGAATACGACCATAACTGCACCTCATTCCCCCCTTCAACTGCTCCTATATCCCCTCAACATGTCCCGCTCCCAACTTCAAGTCTTTTTGTTTTTTATTTCCATTAATCCAGTTCAGTTGTGCAAGGGTACAGCACCATTCACTGGGACATGAGAATCCTACAAGCAGTCACATGAGTGGAAACTAACGATTGTCCTCCCCTTGGAAACTATGAGTAACTCCTCAGTAAGTGGCACGTCCTAAAGATCATCTACCCCCTCTATGCCAGAATTTTGACTGATTTTATACAGCTCTGTGCAGGTCCCCCCAGCTTCCGGGAGTCCTTGAGTACAACAGCCACATCCCGCCATGTCCTGAAACAAGCGTTTCCCAGCACTGCTCCCCATTCTCCTAGCTTCCCCTTCTGAGGTGTTCCCTGAGCCCCTGTGGGGGTGTGTCGGCTGACATTGACGGCTCATTTGGGACAAGATAACAGCTTACAAGGATGAAAGGTTTACTCTGGCTCAGCCCCTCAGGGGCCTCAGTGACTGATCACTAGACCCTCTACACATGGGACTGTAGCAACACATCTGGGGGAAAGCATGAGGTGAAATGGGTAGAGTCCCAGTGTCTCCTTTAAAGGCCGGCCGCAATGACTTGACCTCCTTCCGCTAGGTCCTGCCTCTTAAAGGCTTCACCATTTCTCATGGTAGTCTAGAGAACAAACCTTCAGAACGGGAACCTTGGAAGGATTTTCTGGGTCCAAGCTGTAGCCCGGGTCCCCTGAGCTCTGTACAGTTCTCCCTAAGACTTTACACTGCCTGAAGATAAGACGCAGACGCTGCTCACGCCCGCAGGACTCACAGATCATGGCCCACAGGACTCACGGGACTCCGCTGACCTGTCCCTTCACCCGTCTGCACCAGCCCTGCACTATCTAACCCTTTCTGGAGTACTTACTCCCTCAGCCTTCACACTAACCCTCCACCTACGCTGGGTCTTCCTTCAGCTCTTGGAAAGGTTCCCCCCCCCACACACACACACACACACACACACGCACGCACTGTACCCTGCTCCCAGGGCCTCGAACCCTTACTTGGGCTCAGCCTTTTTGTCACGTCCTCCACACCTTTCTGTAGTGAATTCACCAGTGGTGCTCCCCCCACCCCACCTCAGGCGCTGTTCCGGAGAGTCCGAACCCCTGAACAAGTGAATATCCTGCCGTGTGACTTAAGCTGGGGTGAGCTAAAGACCTGGAGCGGAGCAGCCTATACAGAACGAGGCAGGTGGGCGGTCTCCATCTACACTGTAGATTCTACAAGGCTGTTGTGCAAAACAGCTGTGTGCCTTGAACAGCAGACTACTTTTTTCCTCACGGTTGTGAAATCTGAAATCCAACATCAAGGTTGAGTTCAGGTGAGAGCGTTTCCTGGCTTAGAGACAGTTGTCCTTCCTCCGTGTCCTCATGTGACCCTGTGTGCAGGGAGGGGTGGGGTGGAGCTGGCCTGTCTCCCTGAGGACACAATCTTACAGCAGCATCAGGACCCGACCCCTGGGGACCTCATTTAAGCTTTGTTGTGCCCACAGATTCCCTACCCCCATTCAAATCCAGCTACACTGAGAACTGTGGCTTCAGCAGACACATTTGGAGGAGGGACACACTCAGCCCATGAGGAGTCCTAAGAGCCACCATGCAGGGTCAGGGTACCATGGACACCAGAAGACAAAGGAGGCAGCAAGAGAGGGACTGGGTGGGGCGGCCGCAGGAGGAAAAGCTCGGGGGGGGGGGACCAGGGATGTTTCATTGTGGACGCTGGCCTTCACAGACCTTGAAAAGATCTGTGCATGATGGTACAAGCCTCAGACCCCCGTATTCCTGAGTGGAAGCAGAGGGGGTGTGATGTGAGCTCTAGGCCAGCCTGAGCTATATAGTGAGACTCACTCTCAAAATTTATTTATTTATTTGTTTGTTTTCTCTTTTTTTAGTTAAAAATAAGATGAACTGGGTGGTGGTGGCACATCCCTTTAATCCCAGCACTCCGGAGGCTGAGGCAGGCGGACCTCTGTGAGTTTGAGGTGCCTGCCACCAAACCTAAATGACCCAGAACCCATATTATAAAGGAGAGAACTGTTTCCTTTAGGCTGCTTTCCCATCTCAGCATGAGCACCGTGACACACCACACACACACCACACACACACACACACACACACACACACACACACACACACACCACACATACACACACACACATCACACCACACACTCACACACACACACACACATCACACCACACACACACACACACACACTAAATAAACATAGACTACAGAGCTGAGGACGTAGCTCTGTTGGTAGAGTACTTGCCTAGCTTGAGCACAGCCCTGGGCTTGACCCGCAGAAATGCATAAACCGGGTGAGTTGTTGGTGCACATCTGTGAACTCTAGCACTCTGTGGGATCAGAGTGCAAGGTCATCCTCAGTTCCATAGAAGACGAGCCAGCCTGAGCTACATAGTCAGCAGAGAAGCCAGCCTGGGCTACAGGAGAACCTGTGAGAGAGAACAGTCACTTTTGGTTGTCTTAAGCTACACAATTTGTTACAGGTGTCCCCAGTAAATCCTGCATTTCCATGACCTCATCCCAATCAGATATTCCCGCTGTGCTCACTCTGCCCTTTCTGGGATCTACCGTGTATTTGGCTGGGCGGGTTGTTAAAATTGTTCTACCCTTGAAGTGCGAGCTCCTGAGGACAGCGACACTGCCCATGTGGCCCACTGCTGTTTTACTAGGTACACAGTAAGTGCTCGATGCCTACACGGGAGGTGGATGAATCTGTGGTCTACGGCCGAGGATGGGTGGCAGGAGAGCTGTTAAATTCTAGACAGAGCCGTGAAAGAGTGCAGGACAGACCTTCCCTGAAGAAGGACTCAGACTTCTGATAGGATTAAATGAGACCAGTGCACAAACCCCAGGTGACACCTTCCCAGTCTCTAATGATGTGACCCTGTAGTTTGCAGTTGTCCTAGCAACTTGAGCATTGGTGCCCTCTGGTGACAGGAGTTGATTGATTCTTGTTCTAAATCTAAATGGTCCTTAAAATGGACCAAGTGCTTG